TGACATTCTCTTTCTCTTTTCTGCATTATATTTCTGTGGTATGTGGCTACCTTCTTAAATCCAAGTTCCTGAGAACTGAACTTTTTTCCAAGAAAAACTTCTTTCATCCTTGGCCAATTGAATATCTGTCTCTACATATGGGTTTGCATGCCTACTTGTCAGTCTTTCTGCTTGTCCAGGTTGTTATCAAAACCTTTCCTTGTGGGATGTTTAAAATAGGTCCTTCATCCATCTCTACAGCTCAAACATTTCACCATCTCTTGTTTTTTCACATTTTAAATTCTCTTCGTAGTGTTGCCTTTCCCAAAATCTGTCTTTACTTTTGATCAGTCTTCCTCTTGTCTGCTTACTGGACGGCAAGAATAATGAAGAAGAAAGAGGGCTTATTAGAAATCTGATGGCAACTGGTGTCCCATTCTTATTTCATTAAATTTAATAACAAAGCTTGACTGGAAATACAAGGATTTTCCTGCATAATGGTTTCAAAAAACTGAGCTAGTTTTAAACTAGTTTGTACTATCTAAACCTGACCAGAGGAGATTTAAGATGAAGTAACTTATCCAGCCCAAAAAGCAGTGTTTACTTCTAAACTAATGTCTGTTTGATTAAGGTAGGATGCAATTTACTTTAATATTTCATTGTCCTTTTGATATTCAAGTGCCCCTCAATTACGCTTCAGTCAACCAAGACTGCATATGTGTTGATGCCAGTAATGCAGTACAGTGAGTCTGCAAGCCTTTTTGTAATAAGGTGGAAAATTCCATTCCAGTGCTTTATGTCCATTGTCATCTATTTCTGTAACAATATCAAGGTTTGTAATATGCATTTGAATAAATGTAGCAGCTATTAATGTATTTGTAAAGTCACAGATTTTACTTATCCTTTACAGCTACTCTTTAGAACAAACTGAACAGTTTCTGAACTGTGTTCTGGAGGCAGATCCTGTAAAAACAGTTATAGCTCAAGAAAGTGTTCAGCAAAATGAAATTGTTTCTTCCTACAGTGCTGCAAAGAACCGGGAGAAGAAGGTATTTTTATTTTTTTTAAATAGTAGTTACAAATATATCAAAGCTATGTTAATGAAAACACCCTGCAATGCATACTTAGCTTCAACACTGGAAATTCCTACAGGCAAAAAAAAGTAAGGAAGAGGATGATCCTTTGAGTGAAATATTTCAAGAATTTGAGTATCCACAATATGATGATTTAAGAGCAGAAGCTTTTTGCCACCAGCAAAAGAGACAGGAATGTTTGAAAAAGGCTGGGGAGGCCTATCGCATGGGTATGAAGCCTGTGGCAGCGTTTTATGCACATCAGGTAAACATAAATATTGTGCTTTTTGCCTGGATTTAGAGGTACTTAAATACTGAATTGGAAGTGATAAGAAAAACATTGTGCCTACTAGAGCTGATGAATTTGCTCAATTACTGTGTAAGTGTTATATTGAGAATCACCTTACAAGTAAACTCCCTTTCACTAGTAACGATACCGATACAGGAAGCTAATATAACCAAATTCAGTGTGAGACCTCATGAAAGATGATATTTAGGGCTTAGTCACACGTGCTCATTTTCTCATAAATCTCACTCCCACATCCACATACTTGTAAGCACCAAGATTTGTGTCCATGTGGTCTGGCCAGGTTCACTCATGTGTGACATGGGCTGCAACAAACACTGGTTTTCGAATCCTCCACATGTCCCTTGGGTTCATCTTAATTGGTGATTAACTGTTTTTAGACACATCTTTTGTACTTTATAGGAGTCAGACAGGTGTTAAGATGTGATCTTTTGCCTCAGAATCTTGTTTGCTTCATCTTCCATAAATCTTGGGCAAGATTGCTGCCTGCTGCCTTTGCTTCCTCATTCTGACTGTCTTTATGGCTACAATCTGTCTTGGATTGGGATAAACGTGGTGTAGTATGCCATGCTTTTTGCCATCCATCTGGTTTTGGAGTGTAGATCTGCTGCTGATCAGTCTTGCGTGCTCTGGCCTTGGAGCACGGGCTCTCTGGTCTTGATTCAAGCACATTTCTTGGTATATACCAGTTTGATTACCGTTGATCATTGCTGTTGATCACATTCTTGATTATAAGTATCAACTGTTCTTGTAACCGTTCCTGTAGGTTGGTTTCTCAGTGTCTTCACACGAGACCTTTTCATTCACACTTCATTCAGACCACTATTAAAAATTCCATTACAAATATCTTGAAAGGCTGTAGCTTTCCCCTGATGTAATAACATTAAAAATTTGGTAAGAATTCACATTATAGAAGCATTTAATTCTAAACTATGAATTGCATTATGACAGAACAAAAATGTAATAATGAATCACTTGAATTTGCTTATTATCTTAAAACAGCTTTCATGCAATTGGTATAATGTATCGCTCAATATTTAGATTGTTACTATGCATGTAAGAAATATTGATTATTGGTCTTTATAATGAACTCTTTAGGTTCTCTGTTCATATATTCTTAAGGTTTGGAGAGATTCTAAACAAAGGTCTGCATGATTTTAAATGAAATGTAATTTCAAGTCCTGTCTTACTTTTGTTCTTAGCCATCAAGACAAGTACAATCTGGAAATTTATTATATATTTTCTTTTAGGTAATAAAAAGGCAAACTAAGCTACTTTTATTCATGAAAAATACTTTATGCTTGGTGGCCTTAGCCTGTCTTGGGAATCCTCTGCCAGTGAGAGTTATGGGGCTGGTGTCTCTGGTCTGACACTAATAGACTTCAGATGATCCATTTTAAGGAGGTGTAAGACAGACTGTCACTTCTGTTCTCTTGAGCCCTTGTCAGTCCAATACCTGGAGTTAAGCCTTCCGTTCCTTTTCAGACGGTGCCTACACATCTTCGAAGACAGAATTTGTTGCTTCAGTCTCTCAGATACTATGACTGTGAGGTTCATGGGAAATAGTTGGTACTTGTTCACTGTGTCATGTGAATAACCCTGTACCTTGCCCCTAATTCCAATAGGGACTGTATTGACCTTGTAAAAGATCATAAAAGATCATAAAAGATCTGTCAAAAATACTAGGAGAGATAATAGGCAACTACTTAAAAAAAAAAAAAAAAAAGTGTTTGCCTTTGGCTTGTCTGATACTTAGGGATTCCTTGCAGAAGAATTAACCTCAACTATAACACAGCAATTTTTTCCTGGGCTGTTGGGCAGTTTCTCTGACATTGTTTCATTAAAATTTTAGCAAAATACTTTCAGAAAGTAAAATTCTATTGTTAGGATAATAAATCTGAAAATCAGCATGGAGTGTAACTTTTTATCTTATGTAAAGATCTTACGGCTTCTTTTCTTTCTTGTAAGGCTTTTGTTATAATTTCTTCTTGGTGCCAGCTTTGAGTAGTTTCTTAAGAACAGATTTCATGAAACCTCCTTGTGAGTAGGTCTCACTGAGCCTCTTCCAGAAGTTCTGTTGCGATTATAAATTCTACTGCTTCAAACTGTGAGCTAAAGGCACCCTGCCAGTACTGTCATTTTGAACCCAGCGACCAGTGTGGAGCTTAGATTGTGTCTCGGCGTGTAATAGTTGCTGTGCTTATGAATAAAGGGTCGCCTTCATGAGCAGAAGATGAAAGAAGCCAACCATGCTGCTGCTGTGCAGATCTTTGAGAAAGTAAATACTTCCTTGCTGCCGATGAATGTGTTGGATCTGCATGGTCTTCATGTGGATGAAGCTGTGAATCAGTTGTCCAGAGTGCTGCAGGAAAAAAGTGAAGGTAGGAATAAGCTAATAATTCCTGCCCCCTAAAAGTTATTCTCCTCATTTTCTACTAAGAAATCATGGTATATGGCAATATCAGAGGGAATGAATGTAATTTAATAACATGTAAAAACAACTGGCTTTTGTGTTCTTTTATTTTCAAAGTTCCCCCAGGGAATTGTTTTTCTTTGACATGGCAATGATTCTTTTTGCTCTCTGTCTTGCCCCCTGTCCCGTCCCATGCTTCTTTGTAAATTTTCCTTTTCCTTCTGTTTTATCCTTTACTTCTATTTTTTTATTGAAGAGTTGATCTGTCCTTCCTGGCATTTTTAACAGAGGCAGTAATGCAAACATTTGTGTCATCTTTGCATTGCTTCGTCAGAACTATGTTGCTTTTTTAATCTTTACAGAAAAATCATTATGTTGGAATTCTAACCACAATGATTATATTGTCTTCAACTTTTACATGAAAGTGGGCGATTTGAGCTATCTTTCAGTAACTTCCATATCGATTTGTCAGCAGGATCTCTTGAGATCAGAATACTGCTGCTTCCATAAATGTCATTTTGTGCAGTTTTGCTTGAGGGCTTGTTTATTCTCCCAATGGAACATTCAAGTACTTCGTGAGTGTTCTTGCTGTAAAAAGATACATTTTCTGCATTGCTAGTTTACCTTATAAATTTAAGCACACTGGGAATGCTTTTATAAGAAATATTTCTTACACAAGGTACCACTGCACAAACCTAATTTCTTGAAACAGGTACTCCACACAGTGGAAACAAAAGTGTTCAGTGGGGCCTTAGATAATCCTTTTCTTTCAATATACATCAGAGATAATTAAATTGCATTATCTTGTGCTATTTCTAAAATGACATTTGTATACTTTAAGCTGTAACCTAATGCTTTTTAGATCTAAATTTCCTGACCTGCACTTAAATCAGGAGTCCTGTAATGATGGTGGGGGCTCTCTGTTCAGTCCATTCACCTAAATCTGAGGAAAAAAAAAAAAAAAAAAAAAAAAGATTATTTCAGTGTGCATACATGGGAAAGGGACTTAATGCTGTCATAATTAACAGTAAACTAATATAAAACCCAAATAAAGTTAAGTGCGAGAGAGAGAGGGTAGTTGAGGAAAGATGTCATGTGAACTGATAATCTCAAACTGGCAAATCTTGGCTTGTTGTGAGAATCTAGTTTAATTTATATTTTTTCCTCTTTTTTTCAAACTCTTCATCAATTTAGGTTGCTATGATCTCTGGGAGAAGAGCAGTTTCTTTTGTTATCAGGGCTAGATGCCCTAATAGAGCTCATGTGCTGTGTTGATCTGTTCATTCATGTGCTCCAACATAGCAGAAGTTAGTCCAAATAAATGTGACTTAAATGTCAAAAACTGTGTGGATTTATATTTTCCTCCTTCCTTTCTTTATCCAATAAAATATTATTTCTTTATTCACATTAAGATAAAATGTGAAACAATGGAGAGAAGTGTCACTTAAAATTTTAACTAAATTACACCTACCTCTTTTTAATTTTTCAATTTTAATTTACATCACAGGATGTAAATTCCAAGTGACGATTAGATGATAGAAACAGTAAAGCTGCTATGAAATTAGAATGTGATGATCGCAACGTGCATACTGCAAGCAATCTAGATTTAAAAAACTTGCCTATGTTTTTTCAGAATATCTTTTTCAGAAGAGGGGAAAAATGGCTATGTTTATGTAAAAGATGCATAGCCAGCATGGGAAAGCAAAGTTCTAAATCACTAGTGAGAGTTTTCAGAAAAATGGATGGAAAGGTTATACTGAACACCAAGTCTCTGCTAAGGGAAAATTTTAACCGTTACAATCCCTGCTGTTACAGAGTACCAGCAGACTGGTGGTAAACCATATCTCTGTGTTATCACGGGAAGAGGAAGCCATAGTCAGGGAGGAGTTGCTCGCATCAGACCAGCAGCTATCAGATAAATCACAAGCCACAACTTCAGGTGAGTTTAGATTTTTGTTACAGATACATATTTTTTTCTTAACCCACATTTAACTAACTGAAAATTGTAGTTAGTTTTAGAATACTGTTAAACGACTAAACAGATTAAGGCAGGTCTGCTGTTTCATAAATCCAATGCAATTGTGTGACACAAACCCGCCTTATACGGAGCACCTATTAAATGTTATATCCTTTACTCTGAAATAGATGAAAACACTATGAATTAAACTTAGTCTAACATAGTTTAATTACATATTTCCATTCAAGGTTGCTATCTTTACTGGGAAAAGTTGTTAATCCTGCTTTTTATTGGTCTCCAATACCTGGTTTAGCTCTCAGCTGCTTACGTGGGACAGTGATTTAGCAAGTCTGGGCTGTCATCAATGTCTGCTGCTTTTTCTTTACAGGAGTGTATGAAGCTGACTGTGAAGGTGGGACTCAGACATAGTAAAGACTTCCCTTCCCATTTCCTTCTTACTTTTTATAAAAGACAAGGGAGAATCTGTTTTGGAAGAAGAGGGAATGAAAGGGGAGCAGGAAAAGAGCAGAATGAATATAACCAGCTTTTTTTGTTTGTTTGTTTTCCAAATCTTCCTCTTAGTTCCTGCTGTTTCCAGCTCTTCACCTCTCCAGACCCTGTAAAATCCTTCTTCACTCTCATATCCAGAGGACATAACGCTGATTTCCTGACTCTCACATGCACACATACTTGACTGAGAATGTTATCGCTTTCCATGTTTGATGAGGGCTGAAGGAGATGGCGTGGCGCATAGCTTTCATGTTGATGCTTCATCTTTTCTCGGTTCACAGGTTCACAGAAATAAAACCAGGCTGCCTGAAAGTCATGCTGAATTGAAGGGTTGTCTAGAAGACAAGAGGAATATAGAAGCTGAGGTGTCAGATGACAGCTAAAAACTTTTTGAACAACTGCAATAGTATTTTGTAATCCGTTTTCAAGGACAGTATTTTATTAGAAATGGTCTCAATTTACAGCAGGTGGTTTTGTCAGTATGTTTCCAAGAAAATTTTTGTGTGGAACGGATCCTTTTTTGAACCTGCAAAAAGAAGACACTTAGAGGATTTGAAGTCTCAGAAATGCAGATTAAGAATTCTGCTGAGCAGTATATGATGTTTTAAAGGGAAGTTAAGGTACAATTTTTAAATATAACTGTCTTCTCAGCATACCCAGTCTATGTCTTTTGACCCTCACATATTTTAATTGCTGTGGATTCTGTGCTTTTAAAACATAGTACCTTGTACGAAGTTATCTTGTGATTCAGAACTTTGTGCTAAACCCTTCAGAAGAGCACAGGGCAGGTGGGAACTCTGCAACTACTGATATTTCAAATCAGTTACAGCTGAGTGCTAAATATTTCCAGGTTTCTTCAGAAGTCTGATGTAGTCTTTTTAGTGGCTATTTTGTGATGAGTTGACCAGTTCTACTGCCCTTACTCCATTCTAAACTTCCCTCGATATTGATGGAAGTTGCATATAAAGGACTGTGCATTAAGACCAGCTGGATGTTTGGTAATTTTGCAGACTTACTGTGATCCATTAAAGGGAAAAATACAATGCTGTAGTTCAGTCCTCTACTTACACGTAGCTAATACTGTAATTTTGCAGGAAATGCCCTTACTTTTTTCAACACCTGCTGGATTACAAGTGTTTCTTCCTTTATGGCTTTTTAAATGGAGCAAATTGCGTACCATTTCACTTTACAGGAGTCTAATAGTGATGTGTCTTCATTCTGTGTGTATTAAATTTGGTGATTTCCTTGTAGAAAATATGATTGTCTGTGAGACATTTTAAATGTATTTTTAACATCAAAGTGAATGCTAATACTACAGTAGTAATTGCCGAACTGGAAAATCTGGGAGTACAAAAGTTATTCTGTTGGTGGTGGTGTTGCATCAGCATCTAGAAATACCTCTGTAAAAAAACAAAACAACAAAAAAAGGCCCCAAACAAAAACCCCCAAAATTAAATATGAACATCTGTACTTTGGCAAGTGTTTCCAGTAAGCAACCAGAGCATTTTTTTAATAGAAATATCTTCTAGAACGCATTGCTACTTTTAATTACATCTTTGCCTCTTGAAAGGCATACAAATTTTTTACTACAAACCATTTAATTTTTGTTGCAAGGCTTTTTCAGAACAGGTATGAGTTGCGTATTAGGAATAATATTAATAGGTTAAGGATTAATGGAGGGTTTTTTTCATTTTAAACCACTTTTGCAGTAAATTTTATCCAGGAACTACATGCACATAGAATTTGTGTATGAATCCATATGTGTATGCAAGTTCTGCCATTTGTGTGCATGGATAGTAATAAGCAGGGACCTTCTGTGAGAAAAGCTGTGCACAGAAATAGGTTTCCCTTGGAAATGTGTCTGTATAAGTTGTTGACAAACTGAAAGGCAGTGTTTCCTGAATACCCATATTCATTGTAATATATACACAGTGAATGCAATGTACGATAGACTTAAAAATGAGTTTGTCATGCTTCAACAGATACAATAATCTTTTCATGGTGATTTCAAGTGGAAGAATAGCTTGAATACTATTTAATCAAAGGGACTCTTACTGGAATAATAGACTGTCATAATAAGTTTTGTATTTTTTGTGGGTACTTAGTTCATCTGAATTATGTCCCTTCTCTTTTTCTTTCTCTGGGCTGCTCTGTAACCAGTGGGTGAAATACAAAAGACCTGTGCTCCCCAAACAGCACTAGCAGAGGCGTTTCTGCCACCGCACAATGTCCTGAGCGGTGCCTAAAATGTACTGAGATGACATTTAGGCACTTGGCCTCGAGACAGAAGTTTAGACTATCAGCTGTCCAGGATTGCAGATGCTAGAATTGCCTCAGCGGAGCTAGGATCTTTGTTTTGGACTAAGGAACTTCTTTCTGCTCCTGAACAGGTTTTCCTTAGTGCTGCTGTTTTATAGTGAACGGAGGGGCAGCTCTTTAAAGCGTAGTCCCTGTTTGTTGGCCCGGGTGGCTGAGTTGCCCAGCAGAGGTCCCAGTGTATGCTCAGAAGTGTTGCATGTTGAGCTGCTGGGTGCCCAAGCCCTACGGCAACACGCTTGAAAACAGGGGAGTGCCAACTTCTGGTTGTTTTGGGAGGAGGCCTGATTCACTCAGCATGTTCACACCATTCCTGACATGGATAAAGGCAGCTTAGATTTCAGTTCAAAAGACGAGCAGAAAAAGTTGTTGTCTTGCCCATCTGTTCATCATAATCTAGTTGTTGACAAGTTTACCCTGGAGATGAGAAACACAGCTTTTTACCTTCTTCTGGCCTACGATTGCCAGAATCGGGGGCAACGATTGCGCTTGACTCTCACTTCCCCAGAAAATGCTCTAACCAGTGTCCTCAGGAGTATTCTTGAAGTCGCCGCTTCCTGAGCCTCTTTCAAAATCGCCACTGCAAGCTAAAAATGCAAGATCAAGGGGACAAAAGAGATTAAAGAATAAAAAGCACATAAACACTCTCTGGAAGAGGGCTGGGACTCCAGAAAGTGAGCTGTTCCCACTGAGCTTCAATGTCCCTCCATATTATTTTTCCATCTCTTGGCCATATTTGGATAAATGCATAAAAAATGTTCAGGGCAAACCCTCAGCTCCACCCCTTACTAGCAGAGTTTGTTTCCTCCAGTCTGTGAAAGTGAGCAGAGGAATACATAGCTTAAGAGCAATTTGGAGTACTTCTCTCTCTCCCTTTCTCCATTGCCCCTTTGGGTGCAGGCTGAGGTTCACTAAGGTACTCCGAATACCCTATGTGGTTATAGGTTGACTATTCGCCTAGTATGAATTGTTTGATTACAGGCTGAACTTTGATGGAAGATTGATGGTTTGAAATTGTAACGTGGGCAGAACAGGTCTTGCTTTTATTGAAGTTAGTGGCAGAGCGTCCATCAGCTTCAGCAGCTCGGGGTGAGGCATTGCAGTTCCAACTCGGAGAAAATATGGTGAGCTCAGCTTTTTTCTTCCGTAGGAGCTTAAGCATGTGCTTAGAAGCTGTGCTGAGCTGGATACAGAATGGAGCAGAAGATCAGTGCACGGAAAGAAAGAAAGTAGACTTTTATTAGTAAGGTCTTCCATGCCTTCAGCTACTTGCCAGACTGTCCAGAAAAAAAACACTGGACTTGTATTTCTTTGGCTGGTGTTATAATGTATAGTGGGATGAATTATATCAAATATAATTGTTTTAAAATGGTATTTCAAAGTAGGTTACATTTGAGAACTTCCAGCTTTTCTGATGTCTTTTGCAGCTACATCAGTGAAATCTTGAGGTATCATGTAAATTCTGTATCATCTTACACTTTTGATTAAAGTAGCACTTAGCAGTATTGCCACCAGCACTCTGAAATAATGTGCGACTGTTCAAATACCTATTTTGTGTACCACTTCTTATTCTATTTTTCAACAGCATGTGGTTGTGATGACTGATAGACTTTAATATGTGACTTTTGGTTTCTTTTTTACAAAACATTTTCACCCTTATCCCAATTTTTAATTTAGGAAAATTCTTTTTTTTAAACACAAAATTTAATTCTTGTGCTAGCATTGATGAGTAATCTTACAGTAAAGGAAAAAAAAAAAAAGCCCAGAGGTGCAATGAAGAAGGTTGTTCTCCTAAGTAATGTGAGTGTTTAAAAATATATTTCAGTTGATTGTGAAAGTAGTAGGGCAAAAGTGATTTTTTAAAAAAAAAAATATTTCAAGATACCTTGATAATACTTTAGTGACTTTGGCTTTTGCTTTTAATAGTACGTGGTACAATTTTATTTAAACTTAATGTTTTTATAGGCCTGTTGAAGGACACCTCAGGCAAAGTTTAACTGGCATTTTTTTGTGGCTGTTGGAAACCATTGTGACTTCGGAGTCCGCATTCCAACAATGTCCAGATGCTCTAGTCATAACCTAGAACACCACTAGAACTAGAACATCTGGAACATCAATGTTGTGAATATGTACAGTGTCAGGGAAGATCTTTACATGGTTAGCAGAACATGTATTCTAGAAGGTTTTACTTAAGGAGGTGAAATGTAACCGATTTGTTATTTAATCTTGCCACAAAATATGGTGGGTAGACGAGAGTAATTTCATTGTTGGTAATGGCAAAGAAGGATCATCACAAAAGTATATGAGAAATTATACGTAGACTTTGTTACTGATGCTTACGTCTTCAAATGCAATTCACATTTCCAGAATAACACTGCCCTCTTTGCAGAGCTGAGGAGATGATAGAGTATGAACACTGTAACAAAGAAGAGTTCATTGACTTACCACAATTCCCAAGTATCATGTTCTCATTAAAAAACAAAACAAAAACAAAACACCAACAAAAAACAAAACCCCAAAAACCCCCCAAAACCCACACAAAATCCAACCAAAGCCCAACTGTTCATACTATTTCAGCTACATAAACTGTGCAGAGGATTAAAGGACTTAATGTGAATATGCATGTGAAAAGAGCTAGTATTGCAACTAGCAGTTGTAAAAGCTGTTAGGACCAGTATATTGGATGATATCAATGTCTTTTTAAATTAAAATAAAAAATGATTTTTTTATTTGTATAAAGTTGTAATTTTGCTGTTAACTATAACTTTCATTTTTTACTGAAATACAATTTTGTAATTTGCATTTAGAATTTCTAATGTGAAAAGGAATTTACAAAATCTAGTTTAATAAAGGATTTTTGCCACAAGTATAGCCTTCTGTCTTTCCTTGGAAGACTACGTTTCGGCTTGTATCAGATTTTGTCAAATAGTAGTCTTGGAGTTCTGCATGAAAGCCACTTGCCTTGACTTCAGGATACCATCTGTAGGGAGATGAAGCGACCATCTGCAGGC